CCCCCCCCCCACACACACACAACATACACGTGCACAATATTGTGGTGTACGCCATGCACATGCACTGCAGTGCGTTGTTAGAATGCATTGCAGTGCATTATTATTTTTCTTTTTTTTTCTGTTGTAAAAAAACATTAACTGTGGCAGCGCATGGCAAAGCTTTTTGACACATTGCCGTGCGTTGTGATACCTTATGTTGCAATTAAATATACGCCTGTATCATTTTATAACAACACAAATACCAACACAGCGCAAAAACGATTTTTAACATAAATCGCTTATTTACAGTTCCGTCATTTTTTTTTATAATCCCCCTTTCTGCAGCCTTCATTGGTGTGGCAGTATTAGGGCCCTGGGACTTCTAGTTACGCCCCTGTTCATAGCTCTTGAATTTAGACAATATTTGCTTATCCTGGAGTTCAGCTTTAAGAAACAAGGTATTGTAAAGCATATCTGATAAGCAGGTTTAGTTATCTATGACAGCAAAAGTGTTGCAGTCCAAAAATACATTATTAAGTAAAGGGTGATTAAAGTAGTATTAAAGGAGAACTATGGGGTTAGGGCTTTTCCCCATAGTTCTCCTTAGGGTAACGGGAGGACACAAACTAGCGTCCTCCCGTCACCCTAAGCTCAGTATACCGTGAGCTACTGCTCGCGGTATACTGAGACGCCGCAGCTGAAGCGGATCCCAAAAATTATGTCTGGATCCGCCCAGCTGCGTGAGTGACAGCTGGCTCTGCCTATCTAGAGGCAGAGCCAGCTGTACCCTCCCCCGTCCGATCCGCCAGTCAGCACTGGAGGATCGGAGCGGGGAGGGGGCAATCCAGCCCCTCCCCTGTCACGGCAGAGAGCTGTTACAGGATCGAGAGGTGAGGGAACGCCGGTATGTGTTCGCTCACTTCTCGATCTACTGAGCCGACCTGTGACAGTCTCATTGTGAAAAGCACTCACCTCATAGTTGTCCTTTAAATGCTCAATTTTTTTTCTATAATCCAGATCAAACAAATATACATTGCCCAGCAAAGCATTGCTTTACTTTTTTACCCAAATACTTACAATCATCATGTTTCTGAACAGCTGCTTCCAAGTCTCTCAGCTCAGCTTCCCTGAACTTCCTGACCAGTACAAGATCACAAGGGACAGAGCAGACTCCAGCAACTGTTCATCAACTTGGAGAAGGGAGGAAGGAGGAGAAGGGGCCAGGGGGAAGGAAGTAACTTGCCTTGCTGTGCTTGTGAAGACACACACAGCTTACTAGCACACACAAGGGTGACTGCATAGCACTCTGCTTGAGAAAGGGGTCACCCTAAAACAGGAAGTCAGGGCCAGAGCTCAGGAGACCAGCTGACTCTGCAGGAAACTAAAACTTTTAAAAGGAGCAGCATTCATTGTAAGTGATTTCAAAAGCAATTGTAATACCGTACAATCCTTTTGACTTTAATATCACTTTAAGTCCTGTAGTGATGCCTTCCAGTTGAACTCACTGCAGTTTGATTGCATGGCCGCTGTATTTTGGCGACTTCTGCTGAAGCCCTTCAACATACACTGCAGTTAAATGACATAAGGAAAGGCCCCTTACATGTAGATAAGTAGAGCATGCAATTACCTGTTACTTTGGATGGAGGCAAATCATGGCCTGTTAGGCCAGGCGTGGAGCTCTGCTGACCCGTGTATGTGTCCATTGCTAACTTGTGCCGGAATGCCTCTTCCTTACGCCTGTTAGCGAACCAGTTATAAACTCTTACTTCTGTCACCAAGTTAGAGCCCAGTCCTTGCGCTTGTGATGGTGACACTCCCCTCTGTATGCATTCTGCCCTAGAATAGATAGAAGTATTGCAAATAAACACCAAAGCACAACACCAAATCTGTAAGATATATTCATTTGAAACAAAGAAAAGTATCTGTATTATTAGGCTCTGGTGGAAGCAGTCAGAAGCCACATACTACTTTCAGGGCAGTGAATAGATTTAGCTTCACTTTTGCAGAACTGGTATGTTGTATGAGTCAGAAACAGGCCGTTCCAGCAAAATCTAATTACCTGTGCAATTTATTTTATGACAGATTCTTTCAAAAACATTTTTTTTTATTGTTTCACTGCCCTACCTTGAAGTATGGAATCTGACATAAAAAGGGGGAAAGGTCAACTTATGCTTTAAGTCAATAGTTCTGAATTGATCAACAACTCTGCCATGTTATCATATGGGTTGTATATTGGCAAAATCAGTGTGAACTGAACTATGTAACATTCCTCATTATCTGTGAACACTTCAAATCATTGGGAGACCTCTTCCATGTGCTTAAAGGGGTTCTGAAGCCTCTGTTTTTTTTGTCTATATCTACTGCTAGCGAGCAGTAGATAAAGGCAAAAAGTTTATTTTTTTTAGAAACCCGCTTTAACAGCGGTTTAAACTTGCCTCGTTATCGCTGCACGCTCCCGCGCCGAGAATACGGAACTGTTCGTGCGGCCGCAAAGGATCTTGGGGCAGGCGTATGCGCAGTTCGGATTCTCGGTCGGGAGACGAGCAGAGACACAAGGTAAGTCTATGGACGCGTGCACCCGCATGCAGACACCGCTGGATGCCTGCAAGCAGAGAGGAGTCAGCGCTGGATCGGAGAGCCGCCGCACTGCTGGAGGGACAGATCAAAACATCAGGAAAGAAGAAGAAGATCGGATTAAGAGACATCATTTAAGGTAAGTGCTAACATTAACATGGGGAGGAGGGAAAACATTTTTTGACTTTAATGTCACTTTAAGATACCACTTTGTCACTTTATTACAAAATAAAATACTTGCACATACTTGCAGCAGCTTTCAGACCCCTTTCTCTCCAAGAATCCTGGGCTGTTCTGATCAGGCAAAACTCTGACACTTCTTGTAGTGTTGATGCTTGTTTCTCCCTGCTCCCTACATATTCCAATAGACTCAATGGCCAATAGGCACATTTCATCAATTATCCATATATAAGAACTGGGTGAGTGGGCCAAGCTGCTGGCTTTTAACCAAAACTGACTGCTTCAAAAAATCCCTTTTCCCAAAACTAAGATGACTTAAAGTAGTATCATAAGGAGCCAAAGGATTACAGAGAAATCCTGTAATAAGTAGAATATATGGCCTGCCATTGCTGACCTTCTTCTGCAAATACTTGTTATATTGTTGTTATGCTGACCCAGAAATTAGCAGACAGTAAAGTCAGGACTCTCAGGAGTTTTTATCTACTTGCTTGTACTGGGCCAAGGGTTTATAGTATTAAAGCTAGAGCAGGCCTCAAAATTTCCACTCGCCCCCTCGCAATTGGCGAGTGAAAATTGAGTGTGTCACACTGATCCTGCACTTTCAGTCACACTGACCCTGCACTTTGCGTCACACTGACTCTGCACTGTGCGTCACTCTGACCTCTGCGCTGTGCGTCACTCTGACCTCTGCGCTGTGCGTCACTCTGACCTCTGCGCTGTGCGTCACTCTGACCTCTGCGCTGTGCGTCACTCTGACCTCTGCGCTGTGCGTCACTCTGACCTCTGCGCTGTGCGTCACTCTGACCTCTGCGCTGTGCGTCACTCTGACCTCTGCGCTGTGCGTCACTCTGACCTCTGCGCTGTGCGTCACTCTGACCTCTGCGCTGTGCGTCACTCTGACCTCTGCGCTGTGCGTCACTCTGACCTCTGCGCTGTGCGTCACTCTGACCTCTGCCCTGTGTGTTACATTACTGACCTTTGCGCTGTGCGTTACATTACTGACCTGGCGGAGTTAAGTCCGGGGCAGGGTAGGGGTTAGGTGGGGCAACTGGTGGCGAGTAACTTTTAAGGCCTGGCTAGTAGCTCAGGACTTGAAATTTTGAGCCCTGGGCTAGAGGGTCAGTATGACATACGGGCGACTTGCTTTTTTAGAAGTAGATATCAGAAATGCCAAGCTTCATGTTTCTCTAATGACAGGTTTCCATTAGTAGCACCTCCTGAGCCCACTAAAGAGTCCCCATTTTAGGACCATAGTGAGTCTAAACATGCCCCCTGTCCGCTATGTGACATGCTTAGCGCCTAAGCATCCTGTTGCCAGACCAAAGCAATGGAAAAGGAATGGGCCTGGGCTTATGCAAATACCAAAAGATCTTCCCAAAGCTCCAGCAGTGCTTTGAAGAATACGACCGTACAAGTAAAAGTGAATCTAGGCACCTTATGGAGCTTTAGTTTTAGGTTACTAACTTGTAAAGAGCGGAAGGGAAGATTGCTTTAATTGGGATAGTATTGTATTTTTTTAAATTTAACCCTTTACCTATTACATTCCTCTACAAGTGCTTCGCGCTCCTCTTTGCTGGGATTTTTCTGTCGTTCATATGCCTGAAACAAGATGTGCTGTGAAGCTGGCCCCCACTTGAAGCGGTTCCTTCTGACTTTTTTGTTTGGTACTTCATCACACGAAATGTCATCGGTCATCAAAGTTTGTCCTGCATGGGTGAACTCTAAAAAGAAATGGATGTGATACATTGGATGCCATCATCCAATTCCACAAGGTGACTTTTATATTGTATTATGTGTGCCAGTGTTACAGGCACATAGATAAAGGTATACTCACGTCTTGCTATTTCTCGCTGTTTTGAGACATACCATGTGTACAGTGCTGCCCTTTTCTGCGTTTTCATGGGAGTACCCTTGTTGAGGTGTTGGGATAGATGAGACTGGTTAAGTCCTGTGGTGTCTACCACCTCCCGCTGTGGAATGTTGTGCTGTTGCAAGTAAGATTTCACTAGCTTGGCTACGTGCCATGAATCCTCCCTGCAAGGTGGAAAATCATACTGGTTAGTATGGAGAAAAAACTGTGAATTGACTAACACAGTCTATTTAAAGTGTGTACAGGAAGTTTTCTTTGTGCCCATGTTGCAGAAGTTGCATTCTACTTGGATGAACATAGTTTACTATACCCTCCTAGAATAGGATTGGAAGATAAAAAAATGAATGCTACATGTGGGCATTGACCAGAAGGCCATAAAATATGTTAGTGCCTTCTGTTCAGTGCTAGATATGCTTGTGCATACTGCCTATCACACCTTTTGCAAGATACAATAAATACTGCACCAAGAGAGTTGGTAAAATTGGTACTAATCAGGTACAAAGTATAGCGAATACACTCTTGTACATAAACCCTATGTTATTTTTATTTTTTTATTATCTGCAGATTACCACTACTTATACATTCAGATTACTATTACCATATACTGCAGATTACCATTATCATTTACAATCGGACTTTAATAAACTTTAGTGAGATTTGAAATGTAATTATTTTGTGCTAAAAGCCATAGTAAAGAAAACATGTAAAGAGAAAAATAGAGGAGACTTCTACTATTGCCCTTGCCTTTTTTAAATGTTAAATGCCTGATGCTAATTCAATGGCTTCAGTGCAATCAAAGACTTGGGATGAAAATTCAGAGCAGGAGTTGAAGACTTAAATCTTACTTGACTGTCTATATGACTGTTTCTGTTCAATGGCTTGGAAAGTGCAGAAATTAAAAGATTTGCATGACAGCCAGGTCAAGTAAATGGCATTTTCTGAATGAGGTAAACATTGGCCCAATACTTATTTCACTAGGTAAAGGTTCTTTAAACGCAGACCTTAGCCCTCTGTACATCTACACTTTTTTAACATCTTCATTTACCTACCCTGATATATAATCTTGTAGGAAAATCTTTTAATACTACCCTAACATCTGCTTCAGGTTCCCTGCAACTGAGGATCAGGCTCTAGTGTCAGCTATGGGATGGTCATATGTATGCTGTCTTTAACCAAAAAAACTGTGTTGATGCAGAGTTACTGATTGCCACACTCTGCTTAACCAGTCAATCTTTGGCTCTGCTTGAACACAGTGATTGGATTAGGACAGTGGATCCTTCCAGCTGCAAACAGGTCCCAAAACCTGCACGCAAAGCAAACCAGGTGTGGTTGTTAGGGAGGTATAAGAAGAGTATTTAGAGCCAGATAACACATTAGAATAGAGAGAGAGGTTAAAAAAACAGAATGGTATAAGAGTACAAGTCCACCTGAAAGGGAACTAGCAAACGTGTACCTGTTTGCATTCACTGTCATGGCCCCTTCTCTGGTCGAGTAGGGGAGCATCAGATAGCAATACGTTAGTGTGCATACAGTGGAGACAGGTGGAGTATATAACATCAAACTGTATAGCGTCACGTATAGAATGCACATTGTACAGGGATATGGGAGAGGTGCAGCATGTGGAACTGTATGGTAAACAGAATATACAGGTCAGTGTATGACAGTTTACTGGCACAAAAATCTACCTAACTGTGGCAATTAAGTATTTACCTAAGGCCTCGTTCACACCAGACACAGTGTGTTCCGGCACGATTCTGGCCAGAAGGCACTGCATCGCCGGCTCACTATGCTGTGCTCAAATGCTGTAAGTTCTGGGCCATGTCTGGTGTGAACAAGGCCTAACTAATAGCCTTTTCTCATGAGACAAGGAAACAGGTGCATCTGCTAAGGTCTGGTGAGTGTCTTGCAGAGAGTGAGGAGGCATTTGTGTTTGGGGGGTTATGGGGGATGAGGAAGGGGGGAATTTTCCTTCAGGGATAAAGCAGTTTTTTGGGGGGACGTTTGTACTAAGGGGCGTGATTTTACTTGTGGGAAGGTTGAATTGATGCTGGGGAAGTAATCTGAAATACTGCACTCTGTAAGTAGGGTTGTATGTTACATACACCTCTACTCTGGGAGTAGAGTAGTTAGGAGTATGCAACACACAGCACAGTATACAGAGTGCAGTGGTTCCTTTTAAGGAATAAGAGTAATTCATAGAACTGACTGTTTTATAGCAGAATATCAAGCTGGACATATACTTAGCCACTAACTTTTACTACCGTACTACACAGAATCCCTGTAAGCTAATAAACTAACAGGAAATCTGAGGTACCTACATTATTATTCTTTAATCAGTTACCTGCAGATGAATGACAATGTAGAGCAGCCTTGAATGGCAAATAGCATTGACAAGGAAACCATAATGACTGCCATCTGGTTGATATTGCTAAAGCTGAGTATACATGGTAAGAATTTCAGTGGAGAGAATTTGTATTCAAAACATTCATTCCATTTAGTAAAAGTTAATGGGGTAAAATCGACAACTGATTTCAACTGTAATGATGAATTTTTGTTGAACAAACTAAATTCTAACAGTGAATATGGTTTTCCTTCAAGAAAATGTTAAAATCAAATGAAATTTCGAATTACATTCTTCAAGTTTCTAAGGGCATTATAAAATGTTCTGATGAAATTCTTCATATGAAAATCTACCAGTGTACCCAGCTACAGTTTTACTGCATACATGTTTGCATGAATGGATTATTGATAGTATGTGGACACTCACTTTTAGCCATTTGCATTGTTGAGTCTGCTACTATAATTTTAATGTTATGTTAGTAATTTCATGTTAAACATAAGAGAAAGCTGTGGCTTTTACATTCATCCCGTGCTGTATGTTTTAACATTTAATGCAACCATATTTGCACTGTTAGTCATTGGCTTTGTTGTACTGCAGCTGACACATTGCTACGTACAGTATTTCAAGAGTTACAATGCATGGCTATATTTGCAAGGAAACCATAAATTAAGGAGAATAAGTTGGTGTGGACATTGGATTTAGAAAAAAATGAACTGACAGCTTGTGTCTAACCTTGACCTTGAGGTGACACAAAGGCACAATGCTAATTGTATTTCAGACAGACAGAAAGCAAATAAGATTTTAGCTGGTCTCACCCCAAGACAGAGACAAAAAACTACCTATCTCACTTTGCATGACACTGGAATTTAAAACAGAAGACAGCCAAATATCTAGCAGGTGCAAGTCAACACCACTTTTATTGATCTGCAGAAGCACTTTGGAGAGGTCACTTATTTTCATAAAAATATACAACAAATTTATGGGGCAAAGGTTTCCTTTTATAGAGTTGCAGACTATGCTTGTTCTCATAAAGTGGATAATAAAGATGAAACTCCACTTGAAAAACCTGAAATGTATTTTTTTTTAAATGTGAAAATCCTATGGGGGGGAGAAATGTTCCTTTTGCTTGCTATGCTGTTGAAAATGTTGTAGCCCAATACTTGAGATCTGCAAAAATCTCTTTCTTTTTTCCTGTACACACACAATCTACTTTTGATCTGGGATGTATCTGCAAATTGCAGAATTTCTGTCTGAAAATCAATTGTACCATTCCCCATGTTATGGGGGGCACGCCATCTGCTGCCATATTACTAGAGACTGCTCCATGGTACATATGATTGTTACAGTAAATAAATCTACGTTTATTGGAATACCCAATCATATGCAACGGAAATAATAAAAACTGGATTTTTGCTTGATTGAAGGGAACATATCTTCATTTTGTTTACTAAGCTCAGTGAACTTTGCATAAAAAAATACCCTTTGCATAGGGACGAGTTGCTATCTCTTTAATAAATCCACCCTAGCATATCAAACTCAATTAGGGATCTCTACTTTTAGGTTATGGTTTATTCAATGTGACTTAGGCCCAGTTGTCCAATGAAAAACATTTTTTTATTTTTTTTAGGGATATGTTTATAATGTATGTGGCAAATATTATTTATTCATTTTGCATTCTAATAATAGTATTATATATTGTTTGCACAAAAAAAAGGGAGTGGGGTATGTACACATGAGGTTTAACACATTTATTTTACCATTCCCTATGCATTACACAAAAACATTGTAATTATCTGATTTCTATTGTTTTTTTGTTAAGGGATACATTTATTAAATTGTGTATTTCCATAATGCACAGTTTGTAGAAATACACACCTGTATACACACTGCAGACCCTCCCCCAACACTAAATGGTGATTCACTCGGCTACTGATACCAGCTTATCTGAGCACAAAGTCCAATCTGCAAGCAAACAGTAACGGCTGTGTACCAGGGACAGGAATATATGCACAGAACAAGGGGCCACCTGTGATCATTGGGGTCCTTTTGCAAAAAAAGAACAATATGTCCAGTGTTAATTAAGATTAATGATCCACTTAGCCTTCAAGTATAGAGATTCCCTAACTCATTACTGCACATGGACAGGCCTCTGTATTAAAACATTGGCTCTTCGGTCATATAAAAGGGTTAATTAGGTGCCTGTTGTTAAAGATTTACTACAGTTCATACTCAGGTATACAATCCTGATACAGCGTCCTGGGTGGGTCACACCAACCACCCATGGTAATTCTCACATTTTTACATCTCCTAATTCACATCTCCCTCTGGGCACAGGTGATGCCCCTCAACCCCTTACTTCCATCCTTAGAGGTCATTTCTAAGGGCGTTTTCACCTCCCTTTTGTTCCGTGAACAATAAGTAACCCAGTTAGTTAGTTATCAACTCAGAGGAAACAAGAGTCTGGTTGATAATTTATAGCGCCTTAACCAATTTAAATGGAAAGTTCATATGAAGAGATTTCTATCTCGGTAGACCCAAAACGGACAGACACCATCTCTTAGTACAGTCTGTTCCTGTTGGCTCTGTGGAGCTGAGCTGCAACATTTTTCTGCTTTACAAGACAGAGAGGGGACCACAAATGGAATGATACTAGGAGTGCAGGCTTGACTTGGAGAGAGGTAAGAGCGGGCATTTGACAAGGCTTTGCTTGAGCTCCAAAATATGGGGAATTTAGTTAAGAATCAATAAAGATCTTCTGCCAGCTGTGACGTTGCTAAAGCTACCAGCTAGCAAATTAGGTGACTGATTTATTTAAATGTTTCTGCCCAGCTCAACATTTTTTTCTCATACAAGCAGTCAAGCAGAACATTTTTATTCTGCCGTCTGTTGCAGCACTATCACAGTAATCTGAGTCCAAAGTAGCAGTAGAGTAGTTAATCATCACAAAAGGTAGAGGCCATTTGGTTTATAAATGCACAAATTATGGAGGGCCTGGATAATTAGTAACCAGCTCAGGCCCCCTGAGACCCAGCGATTAGGAGGACCCACAGTACCCTGAGGAGATTCAGAACAGGACCCACAACACCATAAGGAGAGAGGGAGATTTTGACCTAAGCTATGGGGAACAAGATCAGAGTAACTAGGAATGAAAGAGTATAACATTATACTAAGTTAGAGGAGGATACCCAATGTGAAGAGTACATCTCATTTGAACCTGATGGAACAACTTTACCAAAGAGAAGAACATTTGGGAACAAAGCCATTTGGACAGTTTATATCTAACACCATGGAGAAATCGTAATGATCATTTCCATATGGACAGCCAGAGCTACACAACTACGTCACAGGGATTGTAACAAGACCTTAAAGCCAAACAGAAAGACGGGTGTCCACAAACAAGATAGAATGATGTTTTTTGCTTCAATACATGTCTTCTTAAAGACAGCAATTGACTGGTGGATCTATTGCATGCATTGTTTGCTCTTTTGTCTTTAATTAATTGTATTTAGATAAACCATATTGTATTTGTTAGTGATCACATACCCATTGCTATAATTGTCATACTTGGCACCCCAAACGTTATGTATGTGTAGGGGTAACATAATTCAGTCTGGATATGTGTGATTTAATAAGAGGAACAAAGAATATTAGTAGGACAAGGAAAGTCAAACTGGGAAAAGAGTGTACAGGTACGTAAAAAAAGCAAATGTGAGTGTAGAGTAAATCAGAAAGTTATTTAAAGAGTATTATGGAAAGAACAGTGCACAGGGTTCTTACTGCAGCAGTCGTTCCACCACAGCCTTCTGATGGGCAGCCTCCTCCGGGCTGAGTCTCTCCAAATCCTTTAAAATCGGTGGTGTAAAGTCCCCACCATCTTCAGAACTGTCATCTTCCGTTACATGATGTTCCGTAAGGCCATTAGGTAGCTGCACACAATGATCCCCATCTTCCAGGCTACTCATGTCATCCAGGGGATCCCTGGGATACTGGTAACCATCACCATCACTCAAGGCTTTGGTAAGAGTCTCTTTAGTGACACCTGACTCCAGCAATGCCCTTAGCAGTTCCTGCTGCAAGTAGCTAAGTTCAGACGCCATCCTCGCTGTTACCTGCTACCAGTTCACCATCCTGCGGTTAGAATAGGGATCAGCAGGCGGGAGCCCATGCTCTACCCACCTTCTGTCTCCTCCTCCCCCCCAAAAATACTTGCTGTGCGGCCACAACCTGTACGTAGTCACCCCCCGGACAGTCTTCAGTGAAACATAGCAGATAAGGGACCCTTGTCTCTCTCTGTTTACATCAGAGCAGAGTAAATCCTCCAAGGTTCATATTTATCCCTGTGCTTCACAAGTTACTGAACTTTGGACCCCCAACTCTGCACAAAGTGCATGTGTGAGAGGGGAGGGAGAGTAAGGGAAGAGCTAGTAAGAGGAAATAAAGAAATGAGAGCTAGAAAGGAAAGAATAGAGACAAAACAGCACAGAGATTTGACAGAACACATATTTCAGAATAGACAACGCAAAAGAGAATACATGATAGTAAGTACACAGCAGGTGTGGGAGTGTCTAAGGAGCATAGTTACATGTTCACATTACCTGAACAGAAAGATGGCAAAAGCCTATACAGTAGCACGGTATCAACATCGATTTAAAATAAATGTCAGTTAAAAATGATCTTTCTGTGATGCAGCCATATAGTCAGGTAGATTAAAAATGCCTAAGCTAGCCTTTATGTTGGTGTTATCTAATGAGATGGTCAATCATTAATTTTTTCTACAGTTTTAGTAATTAAATATGTAATTCTCAGATATTTAATTCTGTTAAAATGTCTTACTTTTGCCAAGTGGAGAGAGTCAGTGCTTAAAGCATTAAGATTTGATCAAATTCAATGCTCAAATACTACACGTATTTTAATAAAGTGAATTTCTAGCAAATTGACAAGTGCTCAATCATTTATTCAAAACAACTGCCAAAGAGCGGTGAGTTCTAAAAATTGAAAATTAAATTACTCACTAAACTAAAAATTAAAAATATTGTTATCAATAAAACGATTATTTTCCTTACTTGCAATTTAACTTTGTGAATGCCCGTCAATTGCATTAAATAAACACACCTGCTTGCGAGGTGACAGTTTTAGCAGTACAGGTATCAGCGAATCTGTTGCTAATGTTAATATTGTTTCATATAAATAGCTTTTATTCATAAAACATGATAGTACTTATGATAAACTGCAGAAAGCGCTTGCCATAACCATCTAGAATGCATTATCAGCAGCGTAAGGGTTAATATTGGAGGCTGAGGTGTCTCACTGTGAGGCAGTTCCTGTTTACTGTTTCCAGCTCTGCTTTAGAACGTTTAGAACGTACCAAGAAGGTCAATGGCACTATAAATGTTCGCTGCGTACCTGTGACAACTGCAATTCCAAGCCCAAGTGCCCCAACATTTATAACCTGTATTGTTCTTCCTCTCACTTTTCTTGTACTTGTTCTCTGTGTTGTAAACTCTAGCTCATACTCTCATTTTAAAATAGAGCATTTAAATCATTACTGTCGTGTAAAGCAAAGAAGAATTATACGCAATTTTTTACTTTTTGTTAATTCACAAGAAGCCGTGGCTAATCAGTGATTTTCACAACTGGTATGATTGGTTTTGCACTTTTCATTTTTTAACTATACAAACATAATAGTTATTTGTATTATCTTTTCTAGCCTGTGAAAAGAGAGAATTGCCAAGAATTTTAATATTACCAATGTCAGCTTTTATATTTACATTTTTCAACTTAAGGCCCCTTTCACACGGACGGTCCGATCAGATCACCCTGTCAGTTTTTAAGGCAGATCTGATCGGAAACCCAATGTAACTCTTTGGGCAAGAACTCTGTTCTTTTTTCTGAAGTTGGGGGAAATCAGATGTAAACAGATCCATGGCCGCTTACATCTAATTATGGAGGAAAGATGGAGGAAAAAACTGAATGGACACAGATGTTACGTGAGTGACATCTGCTCCGATCAACCTTGCTGAATATAACGGACGCCGCCCATGTGAAAGCAGCCTAAAGTGTATGTAATCCCAGAATCAGTTTTCAGTATGTTAGAGATCATACATTAATATAAACAGGGGGGGGGATTTATCTAAACTGGAGTACACAAAATCTGAAGCAGTTGCCCAGAATAACCATGGCAACCAATCAGCTTCTCTCTTCAATTTATACAGTTAGGTTTTGTAAATGAAAGAGAGAAGCTGATTGGTTGCCATGCACAGCTGCTTCAGATTCTGTTTGCTCAAGTTTTGATAAATTGCCAACAGCTGCTTCAGATTCTGTTTGCTCAAGTTTTGATAAATTCCCATCACTGTTTCCTTAAAGTGGTGAACTCTAATTTTGAAATTGCTGACAGGCAGGCTTTTTTTTATGGCAGAAGAGACTATGTAAAGCTAGGTACACACTGGCAGATTTTCGTACGAACGTTCACATGAAAAATATCATCAGAATACTCGATAATGCCATAAGAGGTTTAATAAATTCCGTTTCGTTTTATTTTAACATTCAGTTTTATTAAATGAATGGAGTTTCCTGAACAAAAACCACATTCACTGTTAGCAATTAAGGAAAAAATAGGGCTGGTAATGATTAACATTTTCGTGTTCGATTAATCGAATTTTTTTTAAACGATTAATTGATTAATTTCGATTAATTATAACGCACATACAGATCCAACTACATTGGCCTATACACATACAGCACAGCAATGAAGTAATAAAATGAACTAGGATCACACTAATCCAGCACGTTATTAATCTCACGTGCCCCACTCAATATGGCCACCGCTTGAGTGGGGCAACTCAGAATAGGGAAGGGGGAGGAGTCCGGTGACGTCGATGTCCGTGGCGGCTACCGAAGGGAAGGGGGAGGAGTCTGGTGATGTTGATGTTCGTGACGTCACCGGACTCCTCCTCCCTTCGTTAGCCGACGGAGCCACTTGGACCGGTGAGTTTGACCAAGAAACATTCTGCACGAGAGCCAGCCAAGGCATTGGCCTATACACATACAGCACAGCAAGGAAGTAATAAAATGAACTAGGATCACACTAATCCAGCACGTTATTATTCTGAGTGGCCATATTGAGTGGGGCACGTGAGATTAATAACGTGCTGGATTAGTGTGATCCTAGTTCATTTTATTACTTCATTGCTGTGCTGTATGTGTATAGGCCAATGTAGTTGGATCTGTACGTGGCATTATCGAGTATTCTGATGATATTTTTCATGTGAACGTTCGTACGAAAATCTGCCAGTGTGTACCTAGCTTTACATAGTCTCTTCTGCCATAAAAAAAAGCCTGCCTGTCAGCAATTTCAAAATTAGAGTTCACCACTTTAAGGAAACAGTGATGGGAATTTATCAAAACTTGAGCAAACAGAATCTGAAGCAGCTGTTGGCAATTTATCAAAACTTGAGCAAACAGAATCTGAAGCAGCTGTGCATGGCAACCAATCAGCTTCTCTCTTTCATTTACAAAACCTAACTGTATAAATTGAAGAGAGAAGCTGATTGGTTGCCATGGTTATTCTGGGCAACTGCTTCAGATTTTGTGTACTCCAGTTTAGATAAATCCCCCCCCTGTTTATATTAATGTATGATCTCTAACATACTGAAAACTGATTCTGGGATTACATACACTTTAGGCTGCTTTCACATGGGCGGCGTCCGTTATATTCAGCAAGGTTGATCGGAGCAGATGTCACTCACGTAACATCTGTGTCCTTTAAGTTTTTTCCTCCATCTTGCAATGTTGGAAAAAAAAAACTGTGTGGACCCATGTTAGGTCTATGGGGAGTAGGATGTAAGTAGACATGTGTCTGTTTACATCTGATTACCTCCAACCCGTCACAATCAGGTTAGCGCAAAACGGAACTCTGTTCCTATTTTTGTTTCTGGAGTTTGGGGTAATTAGATGTAAGCAGCCATGGATCTGTTTACATCTGATTTCCCCCAACTCCAGAAAAAAGAACAGAGTTCTTGCCCAAAGAGTTACATTGGGTTTCCGATCAGATCTGCCTTAAAAACTGACAGGGTGATCTGATCGGACCGTCCGTGTGAAATGTAAATGGAAAAGCTGACATTGGTAATATTAAAAATCTTGGCAATTCTCTCTTTATGTTGCCATTCAAGCACCCCTCCGTTCACAATGCACATGACTGCGCCACAACACGCGGTATTGCATGGTACCTGTTACCATATAAAGTTTTGTTTGTGTAATATCTTCATTAAATATTTTTGTATATGGGAATATCTATCTGCATGTTATAAAACTCAGTTTCTCAATTGTGTTACTGTGAGTCTTTCTACTTTAGAGGCCTGGCTATTGTTTTGTTTGCTTATCACATCTCACATGAGGGGTAAACAGCAACTTCATTTAAATCCTCCTATCAGGTTGCGCCCAATGAACATTTGGTAGCCACTGTACAGGAAGGAGGACACATAAGTTATTGTTACCAAGCCATGTGCTCAGGGCTGGATTTGCCACAAGGGGCTGGCAGGGGTGTGGCACTTCCTGATGCCCGGGACATGCAGTTACGGGCAGCGGGTGGTAAGTTGTTTTCTACATTTAGCCCTGCTTTGGGCAAGCAGGGCTAAATGTAGATCGGTGAAGCCGCTTGTTTGATTACAAGTGATCTCGGCGCCTACCTCTCTCCTCGCTGGCTCCGTCCTCCCGGCTCTGTCCTCCCCCGCCGCCGAGTAACCCTCTTCACCGGCAGGAGATCCTCTCTCACGATGTAGAATGGGGAGCAGAGTGGAGAACGTTCGTTCTCCGCTCTGCTTGTTGTATATAGTGAGTGGAGAGCTGCACTCGCAGTACTGTGCTAGATCTCCTCCTGTATTCTGTATTGGAGTGACAGGTTCAATAAAGGGAACCTGTCACCACCGAATGCTATCATAAGCCCTCAGGGGCAGGGCCCTCCTTACTATCTTGTCTTGAATTGTATTGTGATTGTAATGTTTTAGGGAATCTTCCCCACAACCCTGGTACAGTGGTTTTGGGGGACTGTGGACCGGGGGGCTTATAGGAATCTGGGTGCACCCAGATGCTGCCCCCCCTTGTGAATGAGTAAGGGGTAGTTGTTACCCCTACCCATTTACCAAATACAGTAAAATTGTAAATAAACAGAACACTGTAAAAAAAATCCTTTATTTGACATAAAAACACAACACAGGTTTTTGTCTTTTATTAAAAAAAATAAAAAAAATGTCCATCAATGTAATCCACAGGTCAATCGCGTCACCCAATGATGTAGCTCTATATCAATCACAATGGATGACGGCCACCGACTCACTGAAAAAAAAATGCCTAACAGCTGCCGACACAGCCAGTCCTGACCAACGCTCACTGCAAAATGACAGCTCTGACCCGAATGTCAACAAAGGACTCCCAGGATATAGCAGGCAATAGCCCGCTATATACTGAGTTTGGGGTCACCGGAGGACATTATTATATGTCCTCCTTGGACCCTGAAGAGAACTATGGCCAAAAAAGGTTGGCCCATAGTTCTCTTTTACAGTTCTTGAATGCATTTTTAAGGTCTAACTCCTGAGTTTAGTGTCACTTTAAATCTCTCAGTAGCTGAGAGATTTAAGGGGTGAGTTCACCTTTTTAA